ATGATTTCAGCAAGAGAGCCCGGGCGGGAAATTTGTCAAATTTTTGTGAACAAGCATTGGGTTTTTGATGTTTTCATGTTGAAATGCTTGCAAACACACGGTGTTCGGTAGGATTCTGACATGAACGCGCGCGTGTGTTTTTTGTGGTGTTTTTTGCAATGGATTATCGCCGTGGACGACAGGACGTCCATGTCGAGAGGAAAAAATAAGAAAAATGTTGATTTTGTATTGTTTTTTTCAGGTTAGGATGGGACCCCCCGGATGCGGCCCCTAATGGCCGGCCTGAGGGGGGAGTAGGAGTATATTCTAATAAGGAATAAGGAAGGAAGTCGGTAGGAGTAGGAGTCAGTCAAGCTAGGCCAGCTCGAGCGAGTCAAGGTGCATGCCCAGCCACCCGCCTGCTCCCACAAACATAAGAATCCCCCCCCCAAAGCTGGCACAACTGGGGGCCGAAGTCACACCGGCCAGCCGGTTTGGTACAGCTGATGCGGCCGCGATGGCGGTTGCCGACGGGAATTGGCGAGCGCGTGTTGAATGCCGCGCACGCATTGCCAGACGAACTGTGTATTGTCTTTTGCAGATTAGAATGGGACGGATTGGATGGGCGGGCGCGGGGTGTGCGCCGCGTCCCGTTCCTGCCATGCATTTTGCGACGTGGACGACAGGACGTCCATGCGACGGTGCCAATGACGGCGACGACTCTAGAAGGATTTGAGCATGCGCTCGCGGCGACGCGCGCGCATGTCGCCCGCGTGGCATTTTTTGCAAAGGATTCGCGGCCTGGGTGCATGACAGAGCATCGCGAGTGCACCGCGCGATGACGTGAAATCGCTGGATTTGACAGAATTCTTAAGATTCCTATGGTTTTCCTATGATTTCAGCAAAAGAGCCCGGGCAGGAAATTTGTAGAATTTTTGTGGAAAAAACATTGGGTTTGTGATGTTTGTATGTTGAAATGCTTGCAAACACACGGTGTTCGGTAGGATTCTGACATGAACGCAGTAGTAGTAGTAGTAGTAGTAGTAGTAGTAGTAGTAGTTGTAGTAGTAGTAGTAGTAGTAGTAGGAGTAGTAGTAGGAGTAGTAGTAGGAGTAGTAGAAGTAGACATACAAGTGGACGTAGACGAAGTAGTAGTAGTAGTAGTAGTAGTAGTAGTAGTAGTAGTAGTAGTAGTAGTAGTAGTAGCAGTAGTAGTAGTAGTCGTACTACTAATGATAGTAGTAGTAGTAGTAGTAGTAGTAGTAGTAGTAGTAGTAGTCGTCGTAGTGATCGTAGTGATTCGTAGTTAGTAGTAGTAGTAGTAGTAAGTAGTAGTAGTAGTAGTTAGTAGTTTATGTTCGTCTGGGTAGTCTTAGTAGTCGTAGTAGTAGTAGTAGTAGTAGTAGTAGTAGCAGTAGTAGTAGTAGTCGTAGGCGTAGCAGTAGTAGTAGCAGTAGTAGTAGTAGTAGAGCAGCAGCAGCAGCAGCAGTAGCAGTAGTAGTAGTAGTAGTAGTAGTAGTAGTAGTAGTAGTAGTAGTAGTAGAAGTAGTAGTAGAAGTAGTAGTTAGTGGTAGTAGTAGTAGTAGTAGTAGTAGTAGTAGTAGTAGTAGTAGTAGTAGTAGTAGTAGTAGTAGTAGTAGTAGTAGTAGCAGTAGAAGTAGCAGTAGCAGTAGAAGTAGAAGTAGTAGTAGTAGTAGTAGTAGTAGTAGTAGTAGTAGTAGTAGTAGTAGTAGTAGTAGTAGTAGTAGTAGTAGAAGCAGCAGCAGCAGCAGCAGCAGCAGCAGCAGCAGGAGTAGTAGTAGTAGTAGTAGTAGTAGTAGTAGTAGTAGTAGTAGTAGTAGTAGTAGTAGTAGTAGTAGTAGTAGTAGTAGGGGTAGGAGTAGGAGTAGGAGTAGGAGTAGGAATAGGAGTAGGAGGAGGAGGAGCAGGAGGAGGAGGAGGCGTAGGAGTAGTGGTCAAGCTAGCCAGCTCGAGCGAGTCAAGCATGGCATGCCCAGTCCCACCCGCCCTCCCACAACATAAGAAGCAAAGCTGGCACAACTGGGGGCCGAAGTCACACCGGCCAGCCGGTTTGGTACAGCTGATGCGGCCGCGATGGCGGTTGCCGACGGGAACTGGCGAGCGCGTGTTGAATGCCGCGCACGCATTGCCAGACGAGTCGAGAATGGCCGGTACACCGCAGGAAGCCAGAGGTGGCCGGAGGAAGCCCGACGGTCTGACAGGACACCCCAAAGCATTTTTGTGAAAAAGCATTGGGTTTTTGATGTTTTTATGTTGAAATGCTTGCAAAAACACGGTATTCGGTAGGATTCTGACATGAACGCGCGAGTGTGCTCTTTGTAGTGTTTTTTGCACAGGATTCGCGGCCTGGGTGCATGACAGAGCATCGCGAGTGCACCGCGCGATGACGTGAAATCGCTGGATTTGACAGAATTCTTAAGATTCCTATGGTTTTCCTATGATTTCAGCAAGAGAGCCCGGGCGGGAAATTTGTACAATTTTTTGTGAAAAAGCATTGGGTTTTTGATGTTCTTATGTTGAAATGCTTGCAAACACACGGTGTTCGGTAGGATTCTGACATGAACGCGCGCGTGTGCTCTTTGTGGTGTTTTTTTGCAATGGATTATCGCCGTGGACGACAGGACGTCCATGTCGAGAGGAAAAAATAAGAAACATGTTGATTTTGTATTGTTTTTTAACAGGTTAGGATGGGACCACCCGGATGCGCCGCTATCTGCCGG